ATTGGGGGGGTTTTTCTTTTCTCTTTTGGGTTACAGCTTTCGGGTTTTAGGGGAACCAGCGAATGCGCGCGCCCGCGCGCGTGTGTCTGTGTGTGTGTGTGTGTGTGTGTGTGTGCGTGTGTTGAGCAGGGTTTTTTTATTCTTTTATTTCAGTTGTTGTTTTTTAGAGAGTGGTATTTTTTGTTTCGTTTTTTTTTAAAGATAATTTAGGCATAAGAGTCGAGCTGCGCTGATACAGCATAAAAGAACAGATTGGGCGGTGTGTGTGTGTGTGTGTGTGTGTGTGTGTGTGTGTGTGTGTGTGTGTGTGTATGTGTGTGTGTGTGTGTGTGTGTGTGTGTGTGTGTGTGTGTGTGTGTGTCTTTGCGTAGTTATGTAGACTCACGTTATGTAGACATGCCCCGTTATGTAGACGTCCACATAATGTTTTAAGGTCACCATCGCATTTCCCGCCAAAAATTACATCATGTGTTAAAATATTTTTGAATTTGGTCCCGGTCCGAATAACGCTGTTATTTCGCTATTTCTATACACAACGCTATACACACTTCGAGTGTGTGCAGAATTTTTGGTGTCCACATAACGACAGTAGCTTTCTGATTTGTGTATCGCGCGTGTGTGTGTGAGACGGCACGTGGCGGATCCAGAAGCTTGCTCTGCTGTACATCATGGAGCAACGCTCTGCAGTTAGTTTAATAAGAGTTTTACGGCGCTCACAACTTCTTAAGGCCACATGCGCGCACGAAACACAAGTTGATTGCATTCACAACAGCCCACTGTCCGGCTTTATTTTACTTTTAAAAGTAAAGGAAAACATCTCATGGTAAAAAAAATAATCTTGTTTTAAAAAGATTAGAAAATAAAAATAGATGTTTACATTTTAAAACAAAAATTGTCTACATTTTAGAATACAGGCTAATGACTTTTATAGATTTGAGAAGTCTATTTGGATCAACGACGGAGAACAGACCTTTTAATTTTGTGCATTTAAAATATTTACATCGGGTCACTCCAAAATCCGGACATTCTAATGTGTCTAATGGTGAAGTCTGTATCGCATCTGACACAGAGCGGTTTCTCATCTCAACGCAGGAGATATCCATGGGTCACGGAAGCATATATCTAAATACGTAAACGAGTAAAAACTTCTTCGTCTGTTCTCGAAAGGCCAGAAGATTTTCGTGGGTCCAGTGTGGACACTGTGAAGCTTGTTGGTAGTTGTTTACTTTAGTTTTTATCCCACAGCCTGGAGATGTAGTGAAGGAAATCATTCTCAACGGCAATTTAACTAGATTTTCTATTTTTGGGTTTCAAAGTTTTAGATTGTCTAACAGCAGCAAGAAAATGGACATCCAGGTCAAAACCAGAGGCTTGAGACCGTACGCAGCTTCAAATACCAGCGTGCAATAGTGACAGACAAAGGATCAAAACCAGAAGAGGGCAAACTTCAACAGCAATGACCAAGTTGAAAACCAGTTGGAAAGACAGAAATATCACCATCAGATCAAAGATCAGACTCATGCATTCCTGGTCATGTCAGTATTTTTGTATGCATGTAAATCCTGGACCTTGAATGCAGACCTTGAAAGAAGGATCAAAGCTGTGGAGATGAGATAATTCCGAAAAGTCTTTCGTATCTCATAAAAAGATCACATCACAAATGACGAAGTCGAACAACGGATCAAAAATGCAATTGGACCATACCCTGACCTTCTCACTTTGGTCAGGAAATGCAAACTGCAATGGCATAGACACATCACCCGTTCATCCGGCCTTGCCAAGATGATCTTGCAAGGCAGCGTCCAGGGAAAAGGGAGCAGAGACAGACCGACGAAGAGTTGGAAGGACAACATCAAG